CTGGGTCAAAACAACCCAATAGCTGGGTCAAAACAACCCAATAGCTGGGTCAAAACAACCCAATAGCTGGGTCAAAACAACCCAATAGCTGGGTCAAAACAACCCAATAGCTGGGTCAAAACAACCCAATAGCTGGGTCAAAACAACCCAATAGCTGGGTCAAAACAACCCAATAGCTGGGTCAAAACAACCCAATAGCTGGGTCAAAACAACCCAATAGCTGGGTCAAAACAACCCAATAGCTGGGTCAAAACAACCCAATATCTGGGTCAAAACAACTCAACCTCTGGGTCAAAACAACCCAATAGCTGGGTCAAAACAACCCAATATCTGGGTCAAAACAACTCAACCTCTGGGTCAAAACAACCCAATAGCTGGGTCAAAACAACCCAATATCTGGGTCAAAACAACTCAACCTCTGGGTCAAAACAACCCAATAGCTGGGTTTTTCCCTTTTTAACCCAGCGCTGGGTTATATTTAACCCAGCATTTTTTAGAGTGTATGCACCAATAGTTGTCTAACAAGAAACTGTTAGGTTAGGCTGAAGGAGTGAGGCGAGGACAATGGGCTTGTTATTAGAATTAAAAAAATAAAACAAAAGACAACACAAACCGCCTGAGGGGGAAAAAACTGTCCAAGCTCACACGGCATGGCAACACCTCAGAGAAACATCCACAATCAACAGAGAATACAGGGAGATTACACAGGGAGGACAATTAGGATGGAGAACAGAGAGAGTGCAACATGTGATGTGAAACAGAGAGCACGTGGCCAAACACCGAAAAAGACAGAAACATCACAAGACAACACAGGACAGACAGTGGCCAGGATGCCCTCACTAAAGAAACAACAAGAGGGAAGGCCGAGGGCAGCTCTGTAGCATCCAGAACCCAGGCGGAAGACCAGGGAGGGAAGGGAGGGTTGAGCCGCTGAGGTTCTGGAGGTCAGGGAGACAAAGAAAAGACAGAGCTCTGCCACTCAACAGAGCTGACAGAACCCTGACAGAAACCACATGCAATTTCATCTTTTCACAACAGAACATAGTAACATAGAAAGGTTCAGAAAGGTTTTTCTCACTTACTGAGAGCAATAAATAGCAGTCACTTTCATAAAACTGTCCATGAAATTTTTCTGGCACCAAAACAAGATCCATTTTCTGGAAGAAGAAGGAAAAGTGTGAAAGTGTGACATTTCTTTGAACACAGCTTGACAGCCTGTCCAAAATCTTTGTTTAAAAACTTGACCAAATGACCTGTACAGTACAAGTGTTACTCCCCAGCAATGACTGCTGTACAGTCCAGCTGTATATACTGCACTTCACGATGGAAGCAGAGAAGCTTCTGTGTTTGGTGTCATATCCTCATGTTGCGCCTCTGTTATACACAGCAAATGGCCGTTTACAGTAGTACTGTATACGGTTTTTGCATGCTGCAGCAACCAGCACTGTAAAATCACTGTCAGTCTGTAACTCTGCAATGACTGATTTGATTGTTTTGTTATTTTCAAAGCTTATTAGCATAATGAACTTATGATAATAAAAAAGAAGAAGAATGTCATTAGCCATTCTTTTGGAAAGGAGACCTTGGAATGCTGGAACCGTAATAGAATACAATAGAATAGAATAGAATAGAATAGAAATCGTGAATTTCTACAGTTATTTTTATTGCATTTTTATTTTTATTATTTTATTTACAGTTAGGATAGGCTCATATTTGATTGGATAATTTATCGCATATTTAACTAATAGCTGTTTTCATACTTGTTAAGATTTGATAGCAGTATTATTTGGCCATGCAAACATTTTGTTTCTAAAACATAAAACAAATACATTGTGTACAAGGCTGCATTTCATCGTGTAGAGACTGTAGAGACCTGTTGCCAACGATGGTCTCTACAATCAACTTACCTTACGACGCTTTTGAGAAATGCAGCCCAGATTGTTTCAGTTGCTGTATATATCAATGACTACTTTTTTTTTCTGCGTAACTTTGGCCGTGGTTTGTAGTCCTATGACTCATGAGACACAGACAGTCCCTTTCACAGAATTTACACGATAAGTGCCATCCACACAACTCAAATCAAATCTGATCATTTCACAAAGGTCTGTTCTTTAGTTTTCTTATAGTTGAATATGTTAACAAAGTTGTGTGATTAATTGCAATTAAAAAAAAATTCAGTTCGTTTTTTCAATGTTATCAATTGCAATTTCTCAAATTTTTTTATTGATAACCCTATTAAAACATTAAAATATCAAACCAATCAAGCACCAAAAGAGGTCCAATGTAATTACTTTGAAACATCTTCACACTAACATTTGCATGTTTTGCATACGGTACATCCAATCATTGATGCAGTAGTTGGCTTATATTCTTGTATATTACATGGAATGTCCAAAATACTTGGATCAATAGATGCTCCTACCAGTGAACCAAAGTGAAATGGGACAACAGCTCATCAGACATACACCTCTCATATTTCATGTTTTATAGAAAGCATCTCAATCATGTGTTTCTTCAACAGACTTTAATAATGTGTTCCACCATCAGCTTCTTCTTTCAAACCTACCTCGATCCTCCAGATGAGTATCCCTGGAGAGTGTGTGATGGCTCTGAACGTGTGCTGCATGATTCAGCGGTGCGCACCAGACTAAAAACCAAGAGAGAAAAGGGTACACTGGGTTATTAGCCTTAACTCAGCATCAATATATTACGCTCCTTTCATGTTTAATACGTAATTGCCATTATTTTACAGGTTTTATTACCTTTAGATAAATGTAAAGTAGTTTTATTAACTGTTAAAGCAGCTTTAATTGGAACAAAACAAAAGTGTTACCTTGAAGTCCAAACAGTGATTTCGAAGAGCTTTAGAGATGATTCTCCTCGGATGGATAAAGGCTGATGTGTAAGTCCAGCCAGAGACAAGTGAACAAGTCCAGGATTGTCTCTGATGCTAACAAGGCACAGAGCAAAATATGCCCTTTTTTGTCCAGGTCTTTTGCACCGATTTTACAAATACTTCATTTGGTTGTATTTGCCTGCTCTCACTCGATGCTGAGCTCGACAACCAATCAGGATAAGACTTTAATGCAGTCAAGGCAAATGAGCAATGTAAACAAAGAGAGATATTCAAAAGACAAGAAAAGCGATCATAAGCAGTCATGGGGCAGGTTCGTCAGGTGTTTTCAGAGTTGTACTCCCTCCAATGCAACAATATATGGACTGTATCACTCTTATACTTACAGAGTGGCTCTGGTGTGCTGTAAAATCTTAGGTCCAGTTTGATTCATTGTCATTCAAGCCATGTGCAGAATGTCATTTCACTGGGTCTGCAGTACAAACTGCTGTTTTGTTCACTACAGTGCTTTTTCTCTAGCATTGCTGAAATGAATTGTCAATGAGATGTTGTGAGCAGTGTTGGGGGTGACACATTACAAGCAACACGAGTTAAGTAATCAGAGTTCCTTTTTTCCAAGTAACTAGTTCATTTACAAGAAAATATCTGAGTTGCTTTTTCAAATAAGTAACGCCAGTTACTTTGTTTCCATGTATTGCCTGACAGCGCCGGTGTTGCCATGGTGACAGAAATCAGGAGTAAGTGCAGAGCGTTGTGTGAACATGATGTTACTGTAGTTATAGACTAAATATGAACATGTGTTTACTCATCTCACTTGCAAAAAAAACCAAAACAGATTCAGTATTCTTTAAATTGAATCAAAACAGTGAAATGCCAACTCAGAATATGATGCAAACCTGCAATAATTAAATATGTTAAATAACACAAATATTCTTCATGCATTTAATCCCATTTTATTAATCACTGTCGTTGCTGCTGACCTTCAGTGATCCAATTCAACTATACGAATAAGCAAAAATGACTTTAGATAAACATTTATTCATTCAGAATGTTGAACTTTCTTCTCTTGCGTCTTATTCTTCATGTAATCCAAAATGTCAGCACAGCTGAAAGGTTTGTTTGAGCTGCGCTCTCTACTGTACAGACGTGAATTTACATTTCCTTCAGCCTGAGGCGTATTCATTTCACTTTTGGTGACAAAGCACTTTACATTTTCCAAAAATAGCCAAAAAACTTATATATATATATATATTACAAACAAGCAAGCCCAGAACAGGTCAGAAAAAGTAACTAAAAATAACGTAACATTACTTTCCTTAAAAAAGTAACAAAATTAGTTTAATCTTCCGTCTTTGCAGCATAGTCATGGCAATGGATGCTCTGCAGTGAATGGGTGCCGTCAGAATGAGAGTCCAAACAGCTGATAAAAACATCATAATAATCCACAGCACTCCAGTCCATCAGTTAACATCTGGAGAAGACAAAAGCTGCGTGTTTGTAAAAAAAATAATTCTGACGGCACCCATTCACTGCAGAGGATCCATTGCTGAGCAAGTGATGGAATGCTACATTTCTCCAAACCTGATGACGAAACAAACTCATCTACATCTGGGACGGCCCGAGGCTGAGCATGTTCAGCTGATTTTCATTTTTGAGTAAACTATTCCTTTAAAATCACTGATAACAGTTTGAAACAATCAAAATATTTTAGTTTGCATATTGATTTACAAACAGTACATACACGTATGTAGCTTAAAAAAAAAAACATGAACAGAGGATCAAAATGAAACATTTCATGTTTTGATGAGGTGATGCACCGTTCTGCCAGCGCTTCAGCGGTCATTACATTTTAATGTCCACCACAAAATGACGGCAGCTGGCAGTGTATCAAAGATTCAAATCATTAGCCAGCACCTCCCAGAATAAAGCCTCAAATCTTAGTAAGGCTTCATCTGCCCATCCCTCCCTAATGCAATACATTACAGAGACCATCCTGACAAGTTACAGTTGAGGAAAATAAACACAGTGAGACCAGCTTACAGCCAACATAAGGCAAGGCATGTAAATGCTGGAGCCAGAGGAAGCATGCAGCTCATTGTGTGCAGATTACATCAAAGAGCCAATCAGATCATGCCGAGATTAATAATGTTCATTTTGGCATCCTTACAACTAAAGCTAAAAATATAGGGAAAACTACAGTTAACTGAAACAACAATTAAAGAGTGAGAACTGAAACTAAACTTGCAATGTTGGAATGACAAAACAAGAATAAAAACAGATATCATAACTGAATAGAAATCTCTGAAGTACGACTGGGCCTGTAGAAATAGGGTGTGTGCAGTAGAAGTGTGGGTGTAAGAGCACAACCCCCGGAGACTGAAAGAGCACACAGAGACATACAGCTACACGTGTGGAAAACACGCAATACCGTATTTTACCGGGCTATGACATGCTAATGCGGAGTTTGATATTGATACAATGCTTTAAACATTTTGGATAAAAATAGAGCATCATGGGAACAGCACACCCTAGTTCATCAGATTCATAAGTTAGTATTATATGTTGCCATAAAGCTTCTGAACTAATTGTATTATTCAGTTGAACACACAGCTGTTACCTTTGTAAACAATTAAAAATGACATCCATTTTGAGCATAAGATGTTTAATAACAATAATAAAAAAAACACTTACACACATTGGGCCCATTTCACAAATCAGATTTTTTATTTTTTATTTGTTTATGAACCCCACTGTCTTCTTTTACCAGCTCCAGCATTTCAATGAATCATGCATTTCATAGGCGAATGAGTTCAAATATAAAAACTACTTCACTTAGTAGTAAAGACATCTTGTGTTGGATTGTCTGGAAGTCAGAACCAGCACTTTAGGATACATAGTTACATTATTAGTAAGGAATGAGTAAGTTTAAGAAATTCCCTGAGAAACACGATCTCGTGGGGAAAAACTAAAAAAAAAAAAACTTTATGATTCATCATTGTGATCTTAACAGCACAACTGATCATTGTCATATTTTTTTTTTAATTAGAATTTTTTTTTTAAACCTTTGCCATAATAAGGATTTCCCTGGTTTAGAATTTGTCTCATAAAAGCTTTGAGCACTTCTACAAAATTAAGAAAATTTAATCTAAACTTATCTAAAGCATAAGATTTATAAATCTAGTCGTGGTACTGAATGTAAATTTACAAAAAAAAACACCAATATAAAAAATACAACTTCGATAAAAACATCCCTTTCTTGCACATAATAACTCTGAAAATATTAAACCAACTAGTACAAGTATTTTTTTTTTTTTTTCATATGAACAAGAGTCCATATGATGAACAGATGGTTTGAGCCACACACAGATCAGGGGCCAGTTGGCTCAGTTGGATTCAACTGAGACCAATGTTTTTATGTAACCGAATAAAAAAAAATATGACCAGTCGTAAAGAAAAAATTAGATGACTAACTTGTAAGAAAAGTCTAAACCTTTTATGCGACAGACGGCAGATCTCACCAAGAAGAGACTAAAACCTAAATCCACAGGCAAACTGCGGTGTCTTCTTAGCACTTGTGTACTTATACCTTGAAATATCAGTTTCGAAATCATTCTGTTGGTACACCGATTTATAATCAGGCCAATGGCTTCTGTTTCTTTCGCAAACGTCTGTTCTGGGAGTGTGTGAGTTTGGTGAGCGGGTACGAAATCCCACAAACAAAACGGCAACAAATGCACGTGTACAGCTACTGTATCACTGTAATTACGACAGTGGATTCCACTCACTTAACTGTAGGGGGCTCCAAAGTCGCAAAAATACACAAAACTACATGCAGCTGCTTTAACTTAAGTAGATTAAATCAATATTAATATTAGGTTCACCACCTTAAACAGCTTTTTACTACGTACTGCAGAGTTTTAAGGGAGTTTGCAGACAAACTGTTCCAGGAATCTCCTTGTTCATACAAAAATCCCATTGGGTTATTATTATTTGCAGAAGGAATATTTGGAAATGTAAAATTTATGTAAAATGCAGGAAAAGATATTTCTGCTGCTGGCACACTAATGAAAAAGTGGGTATAATGTGGGTAGACGCATGTTGCTCAATGGAGGTTGATGAACGTCAGCTCAGACTTTGTCGTCCACATCCAAACTCACCAGCCCTCACTCTGTCAGATCATTCAATATAATTCAGTTGATCATTCAATTCCCTGTGAAAACACCTGCAAGCTTTTAAAGAACTGGGATTGCTGTAGCTTGATTTTCAATACAATATGAAAAATTACATTCCATTTTTTATCGATATGGCCGACATACTGATACAAAGTATTACCGTGTGTCGTGAATTGCTGGACAGCTCATGTTTAATAGCATGGGGAACAGAAACGTTACAAAGTCCAGCACAAACACAGCTATCAAAAAACGACCAGCAGAAACAAAGTGCAGATTCCTTCTTTTCCTAAATAACTTTGATGAGTATAACTAAGTAGTCTTCATCCTAACGTTTGTGCAAAGGCTGTTTAAGTAAAGGTAACTTGGATCAAGTGAATGAATCTAGGTTCATCAGCACTTTATGAATAATTTTCTGCTGTCAAACGATTAATCGAGAAATACAATTTTATAAAGTAAATAAAGTTTACTTTACATAATGTGTGTGTGTGTGCTGTGTATATAAATACACACATGCATGTATATATTTCAGAAAAATATGTTATATTTATTAAATATATTTATATAATATAAATGATATGAATATAAATGTATACATGTAAATACATGTAATACGTGCATGTGTGTGTATTTGAATATAAATAATATATATACACAATACACACATATATATTATGTAAACAAAAACTTTTATTTTTGATGTGATTAATCGCGATTAATCGTTTTACAGCACTAGAATAATTTAAGAGAGAGCACAAGAATCTGAACTTTTAGAGAGGCCGGACTCGGAGTCACTCATGCCACCTCCTCCCTCTTCAGCCTCGCTGTCCTGCAGAGCTCCATCCGGCTGCGTGTCTGGAGTGGACGGACTCGGCGAGAACTCG